ATCCACTGGCGCAATTAAGCGGCGCACGATCATCGTAAAAGCCATGCGCGGGTCCAGTGGCCGCGAGTTTCCCACAGGCGAAAGAGGGAAAAAAAGGGGGAGAACGTTTATCCCAAGTGCGGTTTCTTAGCTCCTTCTGGGCATTATAAACGCCCTCGATTTGTTCCTTGATCTTTGGACCGCCAGGAGAAACGGTATAATCGCTTCGGCGCAGCGAGTAAAAGGATGCAGTGGCGTTATATGTTTTTAATGAGTTATTCTATTTCCCCCGCTGCAGTAAATTTTCTTCTGCGGATTGCACTGCGGATTAAAGAAAAGTGAGCAGGTTTAATGGCAAGGCTAGGAGTTATTTTATATTTGATATTAAGAGCTTTTTTTCTTTAATCGCGACGAAAGAGAAATTTCAATAATGGGAAACGAGCAACAGTTGTAGCAATATTTCATCTAATTGAGTAACTCTCTACGTTTTATCCAGTTAATTGAATAATTATTTTATATAATTTAATCAAGCATTGAAGATTGAAAAATGAATTAAAAGAAATTAGAATAAAAAACCAGGTCAATTAAATGAACAATTTTTAAGTTACAATTTAAAATATCCATTTATTCAAAGAATTTATTACATAGTCTTAAAATTCTTGAGACATTTCAAACTTTACTTATAGTCATCTTCAGTCATGTAAAAATTAATGAATTAAATAAGCAAGGAAAACGACGTGAATAAAACAATAATTGATTAAAAGAAAATTGCTTTAAGAAAATTTAGCTGATTTTTAAATTTTGCAATTATCGTACTCATTCCAAGATTCTACACTGATTTACTAATTGTCCTCTCTACGGGAGGATTCTCGAAAGCCGGATAGCGATGACCGACCACAAATTACGGTGACCGGCCACGAATTGCGGTCGACTTGTGGCACGAAAGTGAGAGGATTGTCTTTCACGAGCCGCACCGGTCAGAGCTCTGTCTCTCTGGTAGGACGCGGAAATTGTTATAATTCCAACGATGATATTTTTCGATAAGCGACACGTGATAACGATTATCTCTTGCCTATCGAAACTCGTTCGCGAGCAATTCATGTTCTCTGATATCTTTATTTATTCACGCGTGGGTGGAGCGCATTGCACCGAGAGCTATTTATTCACCATGTGCCTGACTGTTCGCTCCACTTCACATTTTTTATATATTCGCTAATAGCGCCCATATATGTGTGCAAGAGAGTGATTAACTGTGGGCTGCGAGGCATTATATACGGCGATTGCATTCGTCCCCTTCGCGAAAGAACTCTTAGCAACGACCTGTTTTCGAGACGCTCGGGCATCTTTGAAATGTACGTAGGAGTTTAAAGAAATCGTTGCTTCACATTTGAAGATGAAAAAGGAAGGAAGGAATCGCAATCTTTAAAATTAAATCTTACGCAACGGACATCAAGTGTATTTTCTATACACTTATTTTCGATCCTCCAAGTTTATTTCTGCAATGAATTTCTTTTATAAATATTGTTCAGAAGAACGAGCTTTTTTTGAATCTTTTATCTTTCTTTCGCATCGCGTTTTTACCCATCGAATTGCGAATCTGACACGATTTTCCAGTTTGAGCTGAGCCGAATTTTCCGCGCAAAATCCGAATACCTATACGCGCGATGAATCGTCGAACAGAGGACGGCCCCGTCATTCTTGCTACAGTGCTCCAAAGTTTCTCTGAACTCCGTCGCTTTCTAGGCCTCAATTATCCTCTGACAGAAGCAGACCATTTCTCGAGGCAATCGCGCAAATTGCCAGATAGCTCATTTTCGCGACTACGACGGAGATCCAATTCCAGTAAAGGCTTTAAAAACTTAATTCTTTTCGCCGCAGAACTCTTTTGGAACGTGGCATTTTCGTCGTGGAACGCGACGGCGTCGTCATTTACGTATACGTATACGATCCTTTCACGACATTTTAACATCCGGTTTGATTTGATTAACGCGCGCACCGGGAGTATTGCCGCACGTCAGGCTGCATGCAACGTTGTTGCGGAAAGTGGTAATTACGCGTAGGAATCTCGTGTAACCCATTGACGTGCAACTTAATCCGATCGCTTAGCGAACGAGAGCGATTAGGCACTCGCGAAGGTTGCCTCTTTTTAAGTGAGCCGCGCTTACAAAACCGGGGTTTATTATTTTTCAGCCGCACGTGCTAAAATAGAAAGTCCGAGGCAGACGCGTAATCGCCACATCTCACGGCTCGTGACACTTTAACAAAGTGTCACAGCTGCGAAAGAGAACGATACGCAATTCCTATAATTGCTCCTAATAATCCTAATCGATTGATTTGCGACTCATCAGCTGAAGGATTGAGAGCAGCGGCCAGTGATGCGAGAAACTAACGGACGCAATGCAGTTGCGAATAATTTTAAAGACTGCTCCTTGCGTCCATGCGAAATTATTTCGTCACGCTGCGTGACGTTAAACTAGTACGACTGTGATATTGAAAAACCAGTATTGGTAACCTTGCACTTGTCAATTTAACCAAATCTGTTTAGCATACATGATTGAAAATCATATCATTATAACGGAATAGTTTTACAAGTATCAAAAGTATATAATAATAATAATAGTTTGACGTAAATTTTTTGTCGAAAAAATGTGTATTTACAAATTCATTTGCAACTTTTACATACCTACAGATTTTGGATCAACATCTTATCATCAGTTCTGATAAAAGAGAAAAAATTATAAAATATAAAGTTTTATTTATTTAATAAAAACGATCATAATGCAAAAATAATCGTTATTTAATATCGTCGTGAATAATCACGACGTAACACGACGATGTTTAGAGATTCCTCGGCGTTAATGTCAATGTCAATGAAATCGAATACGTGCAATTGACCTGGAACGCGAAGCGAAACATTGTTGACATACATTGAAATTCCTTACGAACGAGTCGTTTGCATCATCTCACTTTTCACTCTTTAAACTGCTATTTTAACCGACAGTCTATTTTAGATCTCGTCTACAAATAATAAAAATTTCTTAGAAACGTCGCGCGCTCTATTTTCGATCATCAGACGACAATTTCACCGTAAAATACGGGAAGTACGACATCCAGATAGTGTCTCGCAAAGTCATATAAAACAAAAAAATGTCAGCGGTTTCCCCGCAGAATAATAATATTGTGAGCGTCTTGTAAAAATGCGACAGCTGCAAACCGCGAGAAGACGCGTAATCATGCAAAACGCGGATATTAGCCGCAGGGCTGCGTCGTTATATAAAGAACACAGCACACACGTCGATCTCCACTCGAACATGATATGTAAGTCGTTATGTGTGTGAAATGGAAACTGCAGTAGGTCGGGTACTTTCTACGGGAGGACGAGAAGACCTGTCTCACAGCAGAAGGCACCCAGGAGAAAGGAAGATCGAACAATGCCCCTCTTAATTACGGCCACGTTAATTATTCGCGCGTCTTTCTCGCGCGCACAATAAAAGCGGCAACAATGAATTTGAGAGCGTGCCGTGCGCGATATTATATCGCAATAATAAAAGCGGCGATAATCGGAATCAATATAGGCAGGAATTTGCAATATGCGCAGTATGTTGGAGAAAAAAAAAATAAGACCTCTTTTCAATTTTATCACAACGCAAGCTGAGAAGCTGTTAATGCAATCCTCTTTGAAAACGTCTTATAAATAAAATAATTTGTTGTTTAAAATTTGGAAATTAATTACTGCCAATTTTGTGGAATTACACATATATAAATGTATAAAGATATAATAATAGATCTAGAGAGATTCTCCTCTCAAAGAAAGTCCGCCTCCAACTGAGTTCATCGTGCTTTTTATAAATGATATATAATTACAGTAGAATTAAATTTAATCGCCACAAAATATAATCATTATATAATGATACTTTAAATAATTTTTTAATACGTTCTTTGCTGTATTAAGCACGAGAAGAGAAATGAGAAACTGAGAGAACGGGTATTTGAAAGATCATTTAGCTAAAAAAATAAAAATAAAAAATTTATGTTGTAAAATATATACGAGTACATTGATATATTGATTTAAATTGAATATTCGCAAGAGTAAATATCATATGTCCAGTAACTTTTACTGAATCGCCTAGGTAATCTTCTCAACGCGATTTTCCCCTTGCCTCAAAGGTTTCCAAGCGTCTCGGAGTACATAAATCTACGATAATTTATAAATCTTATGACATATACCGAATTGGTGCCAATTGAGTGAATTCGATTTGCTTTCGCTTTTATCATCTTTTATCTTGCTGTCATACAACGCGTTATCCAATAAAGTATCTCAGTAGAGTGGAAATGCAAAACCTAATTCGCAAAGTAATTAACTAGAGTAATTTATGAAAACTGTCGAACGAAGCCGACGATTTCATACTCTCATACCCTTCGTATTAGTCATACTTTCTCTGCAATATACGAAAGATTTATTACTGGCACTATTATCAAATTTTTATTTCCACGTTTTCATAGTTCCATATACATTTTTAAGTTTACTAAAAGTTATGTTCATTTACAAAAAGTTAATATGTCTCATTATCGCATTTTAAAATACACTTTGTGTAATTTTCTTGCTACGACATAAAAAAAATTATTATAGAAGAGAACAATAAGACTGTCGTAACCGAACCTTAGAAACGTGTTGTCATTAACTTTTTTTTTGGCTTTGATAATAAATGCCACTGGAAATATCATCTTATATAATCTTATATTAACATGCTCATGATGCTTTGAATGTGCGCAAAAATTTTATATTGCATAAGAGAGACATTGCATCATCGCACAGGGTAAATAAAGAGCAATGACCGCAGTAATGCATTTTAACGCGCAAAAAATTTTACGTAAAGCAATCGTTCTGACGGAAAAAATATAAATAAAATGTAAATTGTTATTAGCTTTAAATCAATTATTTTTGCGTCTTCAAGAAATGTTAACGTTTTACTTCTTTCTAAGGAGAATAGGCGATATATTCGTTAAATGTCTGATTCAAGGGCCGCATCATAAACGATCCGCGACCTCGTCTCTCGGCTTCCCAGCAAGCCCAGATACTGAGCGATGTGCAGCAACACCATCAACGGTACCGGCAACGTCCCACTCAGGACTTCAAGAATCCGCGAGTAACGTCTTTTCCCTCGTTCGAGCAAGCCCAGTCCAGCACGCCGTATTCCTCCCTGGCCAAGTACAAGGTTGATCGAGCTAAGCAACAGTTGCAACAGTTGCAGCAGCAGCAGCAACAGGTGCAGCAGCTTCTGCAGCAGCAACAACAGAAGATCACCCAGCAACTCGGCACTTCGAACTTCGTGAACGGTGGCGAAGCAAGTAGTGGCGTACAAACACCGCAATTCCAACGGCAGCAATACCCGCAACAATACAATCAGTACAACCAGAACTTCCAGAATCTTCAGCAAGACTTGTCGCAGCCGCTGTTCAGCGATCAGCAGACGGTACAGTTGCAGGAGTATCTCGAGAAGCAGCGCGAGCTGGAGCTGCTCCAGAAGCAACGGCAGCAGCTGCTGTACGAGCAGCAGGAGCTGCGCAGGCAGCAGGAACTGCTACGGCAACAGCAACTCCAGAGGCTCACCTCCACTACGCCACTTCCACCGACCGCGACGTCAACCCCGATCGCCGTCAGCACCACTTCCGCGCCGTTGCTGCTGTCCTCGCCGACGGCGCGACGCATCACGCCATCGGAGGCGGATCTCTTTCTCAAGGCAATCGCTAATCATCAGAAGAAATACACAACCACAGCAGCGAGCACGACTGCAACGGCCACCACCACTACACAAGCACCTCCGCCATCCAGACGGCTGATTAGCTCGAGTACTAATCAGGAGACGGATATTCCGGAGAACCTGCTCAGCCTGATCCAAGAGCAAGAGAGTCAGTTGTTGCAGCAAGGCAAACCGAAACCGCAGATCAAGGTAATCTATCAGACCGAAAAACCCAGCACGACGAGACAGAATTCCGGCGGCAGAAGCAGAAGCACCGAGCGGGAACTGTTGCTGAAGCAGCTTAAACTCGCTCTAGCCCAGTCCGGCGACGACGATGACATTGCCAGGAATGTCACTACCAGGGATCTGATATTGCCGAACGGCAAGAAGATTCAGGTCATCCACGCGCCGAACGGCTTACCCTCCATTTCGCCGAGTGGTTCGACCATTCTGACATCGGCTGTCTCGTCCTCGACGACCGTCAAACCACCGAAGGTGCTCTTCGAGGAATTGACGAAGGGCGGCGTGCTGCCGCCGGGCGCCGATTTCGAGATCATCCGGCAGAAGAGCGACGGCAGGCTCGAGGAGATCGGCAAGACGCCGATCATCCAGAATCTACCGGCGAAGAAGGTCACGTTCGTCCTGCTGGAGGAGCAGCCGGACGGCAGTTACAAGGTGCAGGGTGTCAAGGGTAACGCCAACGACAAGGAGAGCGGCACCGACATCGAGTCCATCGTCGAGAAGATCAAGAAGGGCGAACTGAAGTTACCGCCCAGCTCCCTCGGGCCGACCACGCAGTCCTCCACGCTAGAACATCTCGAGTCCAGCCTCGATCCGAATCTGATAGTGTCCACTGGCACGTCCAGGCCGCCGGTGTCATCTTTTAACTCCGTCAGCACGACGGCGGCGACCTTCAGACCCACCACCGTCAGATCTACTTCAACCAGATACAGCGAAAGGTGATTATCGTGGCGATTCTCATTCATATAATTCATTCTCCATCTAAATAACTTTTTTTTTTAGTTTATAACAATCAAAAATAAATTATTGGGATAGTGGGATTCCGTTTCACGCACCAAGCTTAATTGCTGAAATATAATTCATTTGATATCGGTTCGCCTTATTTAGCTCGAATTAGATTTTTTTCCTAATTTTTATTTACTCGTGTTTAGTACAGTAAAAGATTCTGAACGACAAAGTAAAATTTTCAGCAAGTCAGCGACGCCGGAATACACCGGAATCCCCTACGTCACGGTGTCACCGAACTCGGTGTCCACGACCGACAAATACGTGACCTCGGCGTCCAGCGTCACGGGCCACGTGTATAACTCCCTGAACACCAGTCCAACGAAAACGTCCCTGTCGGATCACATCCCGCGAGTGACCACCAAGTACTCGTCGTCCACCAGGAGCCAATTCATCCCAACGATGGCGCCGGTGAACGAGATCGTAACGACGGCGGCGACTCCGACGTCTTACTCGCATCACACGTCAAATTCATACTATTTCTCCAAGCATCCGTCCACGGAGACCTCGTCGACCTCGGCAGAAGAAGCTGTTAGGGCTCAAACGTCGCAGGAGAATCTCGCCATGTTGTTGAGAAGGGAGGGCCTCTTCGCTATGGCGAAGTACCTGAGGCAATCGGGATTGGACAACGTGCTAAACGAAACCGGTGAGTTGCATGTCAAACCTTGTTTTAAAATTAATTAATAAGATTATTATAATAATAATGAGACTCTAGCAATAAAAAAAGAGATTTTTTAAACTTCTCATTTTATGAACAAAAATAAGAAATCCGGATAACTTTTGAACTTTCCCACAGTTTGTGTATTAATAGAAAAAAAATTATATTTACTATTAATTAAGAAACTTAACTGAATACTTCTCGGACTTCATAAAGATTTTATAAAGTAAAAAAATTTACAATCACTGCGATTTGATTTTAATGACAAAAAAATAATTTTTACAATATATTCAATTCTGTTCTATTAATGTTAATGTAACCGATTAAAAAAAAAGGGATAGTTTATAAAACAAAAATAGCGTCACAGCGAAATATGGTAATATAAAGTTACGTTTGACATGGCAATGCTTAATTCCGACAAAAATTATAAATTAAAGTGACGACACGCCACGCGGCAGATGAGCTTCACGAAGAGTATTAAAGAGCGTGAAAACGTTAAATATTACATTAAACGAATTATGAATTTTGCGCAATAACGCAAGACCATACCGCGGTCTTATCCAACAATATCGCAAAGGCGGGACAACTTGCGTCAATATTTCTCGAGGACCAAACGATTGTACAAATAATCCCGTTGGCGGCGAGATAGACCCGTGCCTCTTTGCACAATCCATCACCATTTGTACCTCGCGTTTCGCTTTAGTCGTGCAACGTTCGTCGGAAAAAAATATTCTCACGACTCGTTGCCCGTTTCGACACGAGACACCTCTCCGACTCCTCTACGGAGAACAAAGGCGAGTATATACGCGTACCTCATTACGCGGGCTCTCACAAAAGAAGACACGCGATTTCATTAGTCGTTATAATTATCGGCGTATATACGATTCGCTTAGCTCATTGTCTTTCTATCTTTTCGGCTCTTTACCCGTACATATATACTTTCTTTCGTCGAGAGATCGAGAAACCGTTTACCTTCGTAAGCTAAACGCATGAGAAGTGCGTTAGAGAATTACAGCAATGTTACGTGGAAGTTACGTAACAGCTCGATCCCTATACACGCACCGCGGTAGTGCAGTATTTTTCAATTTTCTGAAGAATCCAGTTCAAGTTGAACTGGATTCTCTTTGCGCATTAAACGCGTGGTGCACGTCGAGCCTTTCACCCTACATCTTCGACTATCGAACAATTTTCGCCGGACGAATCGATAAAAACGCGATGCCGCACGATTCGACGATCCGCGAGTCGCGTTCTCGCCGATTTCGAAGAAAAGACGAATCCCATCGCGAGGAAAATGCTCTTTTCACGTACCGTCGGTTTGCTTTATATTTGACCGCGTTCGCACGCTCATTAGAAAGAAAATAATTCGCTGCGTGTTTTCTCGTGTGCGATATTTCCTATAACGGCGGAATCCCCCCCCCC